TTAGAGGCCAGCTGACCTCCCCCCTTCATTTTTCTCCTTGTCCCATTTACTAACACTTGAAATTCCATTAAAAAGAAAAAATCCTTAGTCCTTTTTAATTTAATTTTTTTAAAATTTTGTCCAGCATATTGTGGACATTAAAAATGTTTAAGGTGTACATATATTGCCCCCTTGCCCCCACTCCCCCTCATTATTATTATTTTTTTTACCAGCATATTGTAGGGATACCAAATGTTAAAGGTTACCATAATTGCCCCTTGGCCCCTCCCCCCGTTGTTATTATTTTTTTTTTTTACCAGCATATTGTGGGGATACAAATGTTAAGGTTACATATCCTAGTCCTTTAAAAAAAAAAACAAGTGTTGCTTTTTGTTCTCTGGGAAAAAGTAATAAAATAATAAAAAAAAAAAAAGGCTGGTCAAGTGAAGCAGTGGAGAAGGAAAAGGGAATTGTAAATGGTTGTGACCAATTAGTTGTATACCACTAAACTTGGCCAACCCAATTCCTGCTCTTTACATAATAATAGCATAAAACTACAAATTCACAACAATGTGAATGAGTTTTAGCCATAGCATAATTGATAATCTAACTTTTTTTCTTGTTTAGATCACTGGAGTAATAAAAATATTTTCTTTATACCAAAGGAATTTATGATTTTTGCTTGGGGAATGCCTTTTCTTTCCTTTTTCTTTTTTATTTTGAGACAGGTTCTTGCTATATTGCCCAGGCTAGAGTACAGTGGCATCATCATAGCTCCCTGTAACCTCCAACTACTGGGCTCAAGAGATCCTCCTGCCTCAGCCTCCCGAGTAGCTGTTATTACAGGTGTGTGCCACCACACCAGCTAATTTTTCTACTTTTTGTAGAGATGGGGTCTCACTATGGTAATCAGGCATGAGCCACTGTCCCCAGCCTTGTTGGTTTTTCTTTTCTTTTTTTTTTTAACCAGAAATGTACAAAGGAAAAAAATAATGGGTTATAATCTGCTTGTTAAAAAAAAAAAAAGAACTATGCAGTATAAGGTTAGAAAGTTCAAACAGTAGAAAAAAGCCCAAAGTGAAAACTAAAAGCCCTTCCTGCCTCCCCTTAATGTACCCACTATTTTTATAATTCTTTTCAGGAAAAAAAAGGAATATATCCTCAAGTATCTATATGTTTTTACTTTTTTATTAAATAATTGCACATAGGGCATTGTACAAGCAACCTTCTTTGATTTTTTTTTTGAGACAGAGTCTTGCTTTGTTGCCCAGGCTAGAGTGAGTGCCATGGCGTCAGCCTAGCTCACAGCAACCTCAAACTCCTGAGCTCAAGCGATCCTTCTGCCTCAGCCTCCCGAGTAACTGGGACTACGGACATGTGCACCATGCCCAGCTAATTTTTCTATATATATTAGTTGGCCAATTAATTTCTTTCTATTTATAGTAGAGACGGGGTCTTACTCTTGCTCAGGCTGGTTTCGAACTCCTGACCTCGAGCAATCTGCCCGCCTTGGCCTCCTAGAGTGCTAGGATTACAGGCGTGAACCACCTCGCCCAGCCTTGTTTTTTTTAATTTGTTTAATAGTATATTGCAGAGATAAATAAGCACCAAAAATTTTACCTGATTCTTTTTGAGACAAGGGCTTGCTCTGTCACCAGGGTAGAGGGCAGTAGCATGGTCATAATTCATTGCAACCTCAAACTCTTGGGTTTAGGTAATCTACCTGCCTTAGCCTCCTGACCTGGGACAACAGGCGTGTTCCACAACACCTGGCTCATTTATTTTATTTTATTTTTGTAGAGCCAGGATCTCCTATTGCCCAGGCTTGTCTTGAACTCTTGGGCTCAAGCAATCCTCCTGAGTAGCTGGGAATGAAATGAAGCTTCTGCACCCAGCTTTACCTCATTCTTTTCAAAGGCACCTATTCTATCTCACTAATATGGCACAATTATTTAAGCTCCTTTGATGGATACTTTGTTTCCACTTTCTTGTATTTGTATATTGCTGCATTGGACATCTTTATATGCATGAGTATATGTATCCTGACATACTTTTATGAGAAAAATCTTTAAATTCTAGCTGTGGATTGTTAGATCTAAGAATGTGTATGTTAAAATCTTATTAGATACTGTCAAACTGTGTTCTGGACAGTTTGCACCCATTTGCCCTCTTGTCAGCAGGTTCTAAGAGTACCTGTTTACTGACACCTCTGCCAGGATGATTGTGAAAATACATAAATGTCTTTCCTATTCATTAGGTAAAAATACTGGTATCTCCTTGTCACTTTGATTTATATTTCTTTAGTTATGAGTACGTTTCAAATGTTTATTGCCTAACTCCACCTTTCCCCCATTGAATTGTGGGGAAAAGTTTAGATAGATAAAAATACAGGGCCCCAAAGTGGGCATGGGAGGTGAGAAGGAATGGACAGAGGGTAGAAAAGAAAGACAGGGCGGTGCAGTGGCTCACGCCTATATCCTAGCACTCTGGGATTACAGCTGGCGGGCAGATTGCTCAAGGTCAGGAGTTCGAAACCAGCCTGAGCAAGAGCGAGACCACGTCTCTAACATAAATAGAAATTAATTGGCCAATTGATATATATAGAAAAAATTAGCCGGGCATGATGGTGCATGCCTGTAGTCCCAGCTACTTGGGAGGCTGAGGCAGCAGGATCGCTTGAGCCCAGGAGTTTGAGGTTGCTGTGAGCTAGGCTGATGCCACGGCACTCACTCTAGCCTGGGCAACAAAGTGAGACTCTGTCTCAAGAAAAAAAAAAGAAAGAAATTAATTGGTCAACAAATATATATATTATATATATATATATATTATATATATAATATATATATAAAATTAGCTGGGCATGGTGGCGCATGCCTGTAGTCCCAGCTACTCGGGAGGCTGAGGCAACAGGATCACTGAGCCCAGGAATTTGAGGTTGCTGTGAGCTAGGCTGACGCGATGGCACTCACTCGAGCCTGGGCAAAAAGTGAGACTCTGTCTCAGAAAAAAAAAAGAAAAAGAAAGACAAAAATCCCTAAGACAAACAGTTTCCTTCTTTCTTTTTCAGGGTCTACCTGTTTATCTTCAGCTGTGCACAAACAGATAGAAGCTGTAAGCAGAGGTATTTCATGTCCTTCTAGACCAGAAAATTCAGGCTCTTTTATGGGAATATGTCTTCACCACCTGCTCTCCCACCAAAACTGAGAATTACCAGACAAGCCTGGGATTCACATCTGATGGGCACTAAGGGGCCTTCACCCTTTAGTTGCCTCTTTTGTTTCCATTTTTTTTCTTCTTCTCATGTACTTTCTTTTTCTGTCTCCCTAAAAGTCTTTCTTTTCTCTCTTTTTTCTCATTCTCTCTTCCCCCAGAGCTGTTCTTCCTTTCTTCTGCCTCTTCTCAGTCCTTTTCTGCCCTCCCTTTCTATATTCTTGTTTTATAAGACTCTCTGTCCTTTGAATGGTTATATTATGGACCTGAAATTTAATTTGTAGATTATTTCACTATAGTTAATAAAGTTTATGTAATTTTTCTCTAAAATGCTAATGGATGAATTGAAATTTCCCTCTCGTCACTCTTAAACAAAATAATATAGCATATTAAGTAACTTCTTGAAACCTTAAAATTTGTACCCCATAATATGCCAAAATAAAAAAAAATAAAGTAAAGTAACTTCTTATTCATTGTAACCACTGTTGAAATATCTTAAATAGATTAAGTAATTGTTTTAAAGCTTCTTCTAATTTACTGTAAATCTTTACATTTACATATTAAATAAATGTGCAGAATTTTGACATTTTATAATTTTGATTCTGTCATTCTGGACTAATTCTCCTTCTTGAAGGAGAAACATGTCATAGGATTGTATATCCGTGCTAATATTTTAATATAGTGGTTAAAGCTATTTCATTGTTATAGATAAGTTAAAGTTCCTAAGGAAGATGTTCATTTATTCCCTTTCCCTTTGGCAGATTCACTTATGCTGAATCCACCACTTCTTAGGAGCAACAGCTTCTTTATGATGAGTTGGACAAAGTAAACCCATGTCTTCGAGAACCTCAAGAGCTCTTTGCCTTTTTCTCTACTAGGGGGTACTGCAGGCTCCAAGATGGCCAATAGAATGTGAGGTCATCAGGAAACATTCATCATATTGGTAATATGACTTGTAGTGGTGGTCTTGCTATTCTGCCAGATGTTAGAGATTTTATGTGCTGTGTGCTGAAGTATAAGGCAGGACAGAGTCAACATCTGTTAATTCACCCTGAAAGATTAAACTCTGGAAAACTGATATACACACTCACTCAAGTCAAAAGTTACCTTAGTGTATAAACTAGAATGCTTATGAGGTTTTCAGAATGGGAGGATACCTTCCTAGAGGTCAAAATGTATTAAGTACTTAAATTTGTTTTCTAGATTATTCCTGTCTCAGTATTAATGTTCAATTGTAATTTTACCAGCCTTGGTATAATTGATGAATATATACAAAACATAGTTTTTATTGTTTTTAATTATGTTTGAGTTTATTGGAGGTTTTTTATGGTGATGGTAAGACTTTCTTATGACATTGCCGATCATATCTGTGAGCTCTTGGTGCAAGTACAATCTGTTGCATCCATTTTATGAAGCATTTACAGAAGTGAGTTGCATCATGATGTCTCTGCTTTACACTACTGTATAAACAATTGAATGTTTTCATTTTCTCACTCCCTCTAAAAGAGGAAGTAGGCTGAAATTTAGGGAGGGGCTCACTCAGTATTTTCTGCTGGGCAGCCCTGCTCTTAGGTGTTGGAAATAGGGGAGCAGGGCATTTGAGTTGGCACAATTACTGGGAGTCTAAGATTATCTGTCCCTACCCTGTATAGTTTTTAAATAAAAGTACAAGGCTGGGCGAGGTGGCTCACACCTGTAATCCTAGCACTCTGGGAGGCCCAGGTGGGCAGATTGCTTGAGGTCAGGAGTTCGAAACCAGCCTGAGCAAGAGCCAGACCCCCGTCTCTACTATAAATAGAAAGAAATTAATTGGCCAACTAATATATATAGAAAAAATTAGCCGGGCATGGTGGCGCATCCCTGTAGTCCCAGCTACTTGGGAGACTGAGGCAGTAGGATTGCTTGAGCCCAGGAGTTTGAGGTTGCTGTGAGCTAGGCTGATGCCACGTCACGCACTCTAGTCTGGGCAACAAAGCGAGACTCTGTCTCAAAAATAAAATAAATAATAAAAAAGATTAAAAAATAAAAAATAGATAAAAGTACAAGTTGATCTGGCCAGACAATAGGATTTTGCTATTCCCTATATATAATAGTGGAACTGAGTATAGGTATTAGACCAAGACAGAATTCCTGTGAGGATTAGGGATTCAGTTCCAAGACAAAAAAATAAAAGTGGGAAATTGGAATTTAATAAACAAGTTATTGCAGTGGTAATCCATCAAACCACAGATCTTTCAAAAAAGCAATTTTGGAAAAAATTTCAAGGAAATTTATTAATAAGCACCTTATAGTTTAAATTGTCAAAGCCTCATCACTTCCTATAACCTTGAAGAAAAGAAATTAGCATCATCTTTTACTGAGTTGTGTCTTTATATGCCCTTGGCTTTCATCAGTGGCTACTGTACTTAAAATGATATTGAGAAGTTGCCACCGCGCCGGGCCATCTTCGTAGTCTTTATGGAAAGAAGCAAGATATAATTTACAAACAAGCTGGAAGCTTGGGGTGGGAATTTGTTTTGATTCAGCCAAACTAGCCATTTTAATAATTATCATTTTATATCAGTTCTGATAATGCCTTTTATATTATTTATTTTGTTCTTTTTAAAATGTCTCCTTTCAGAATGGGTTCCACCTCAACCAGAATATTTCTATCAACCTACAGGAGATGAAAAGGTACCAGAAATTGTAGGAGAGGAAAAAGGCACAGTCGTCTATCAATTAGATTCAGGTACTGTCATACTGAACAGTGAGTGGTTAATCATGACACAGTTATAATAAATGTATTTTCTATAATAAAAGTAATTTGAGGCAGGGCATGGTGGCCCATTCCTGTAATCCTAGCACTCTGGGAGGCCGAGGAGCGAGGATGGTTTGAGCTCAGGAGTTTGAGACCAACCTGAGCAAGAGTGAGACTCTGTCTCTACTAAAAAAATAGAAAGAAATTAGCTGGACAACAACAACAACAACAAAAATATATATATACATACACACACACATACACACACACACACACACATATATATTAATTAGCTGGGTGTGGTAGCACATGCCTGTAGTCCCAGCTACTTGGGAGGCTGAGACAGGAGGATCACTTGAGCCCAGGAGTTTGAGGTTGCTGTGAGCTAGGCTGATGCCACAGCACTCTAGCCCAGGTAACAGAGTGAGACTCTGTCTCAAAAAAAAAAAAAAAAAAAAAGTGATTTGAAAAATCCATCATTTAGTGATAAACTGTCTTTTCCAGACCAACCTGAGTGGGAGCCCTGAGAGTAGTCATGACTAGCCAGTTTTTAAATGTTAATGGAAAATGACAGTATATCTTTCTTAATAGTTCTAAGTCCATTTTATAGCTTACCCCTTTTTATTCTAATTCCTGAAAATCAGATGTTGGATCATCTTGGGGAGCTTATTCTTATTTTTACCACCTCCTGTATGTACTTTAGTTAGTCCTTTATTGTATGTGTATATGATTATCATTTAGTATGTGGTTTCCTGCATTGAGCTGTGGGCTTCCACAGGTAGAATCTATGTCTTTTATAAAAAATATGCAGAACACTATACCCAACAACAACAAAATATATATTCTTTTCAAGGGCACCTGTTATATTCCCCAGGATAGACTACATGCTAAGCCATAAAGCAAGTCTTAATACATTTAAAAGGATTAAAATCATACAGAGTACATTCTCTGACCACCACAAAATTAAACTAGAAATCAACAACAGAATGAGATCTGAGAAATCTACAAATAGTTGAAAATTGAACATTACATTTCTAAATAAGCTGTGGATGGTTGGGTGAGGTGGCTCACGCTTGTAATCCTAGTACTCTGGGAGGCCGAGGAGGGAGGATCACTCAAGGTCAGGAGTTCAAAACCAGCCTGAACAAGAGCGAGACTCCATCTCTACTAAAAATAGAAAGAAATTAATTGGCCAACTAAAAATATATAGAAAAAAAATTAGCTGGGCATGGTGGCACATGCCTGTAGTTCCAGCTACTTGGGAGGCTGAGGCAGAAGGATTGCTTGAGCCCAGGAGTTTGAGGTTGCTGTGAGCTAGGTTGATGCTATGGCATTCTAGCCCAGGCAACAGAGTGAGACTCTGTCTCAAAAAAAAAAAAAAAGAAAAAAAAAATTGGGTTAAAGAAATCACAAGGAGAGTTCAGAAATCTTTTGAACTGGGTGAAAATAAAACCACAACATATCAAAATTTATAGGATGCAATTAAAAAATTCATGGGATACAGCTGAAGTGTTGCCTGGGAAATTTATGACTATAAATGCCTTTATTTGAAAGCAAGACAGATCTCAAATCAATTACCTCAGCTTCCACCTTAATAAATTAGAAAAATAAGAGCTAGCTAAACCCAAAGAAAGCAGAAGGAAGGAAATAATGAAAATATAATAAGAATGGAAATCAGTGAAATAGAAGACAGAAAAATGATAGAAAATCAACCCCAAAGTTGGTTCTTTGGAAACATCAACAAAATTGACAAAATGTTAGCTAGACCAACCAAGAAAAAAGGAGGGAAGACACAGATTATCAAAATCAGGAATGAAAAAGGGAACATAGCCACCAAACCTGTAGAAATCAAAAGATTACAAGGTAATGCTATTAGCCAACTTTATGCCAAAAAATTAAACAATTTAGATAAAAGGACAAATTGCTAGAAAGACACAAGTTACCAAAACTAAGGAAGAAATAAAAAGTCTGAATAAACTATAACAAAGAAATTGAATTAGTAATTAAAAATCTTCTCAGGGAGAAAACATAAGCCCAGATCACTTGACAGGGTTTGTTTGAATTCTATCAAACATTTAAAGATGGCCAGGGACGTGGTGGCTCATGCCTGTAATCCTAGCACTCTGAGAGGCTGAGGTTAGAGGATTGCTTGCTTGAGCTCAGGAGTTTGAGATCAGCCTGAGCAAGAGTGAGACCCTGTTTTTCTACTAAAAATAGAAAACTTAGCTGGGCATGGTGGTGCATGCCTATAATCACAGCTACTCGGGAGGCTGCAGCAGGAGAATCACTTGAAGCTCAGGAATTTGAGGTTGCTGTAAACTAGGCTGATACCACAGAATCTATCCCAGCTGACAGAGCAAGACTCCATTTCAAAAAAAAAATTTAAAGATGAAATAGCACCAAATTTTCACCAACTCTGAAAATAGAGGAGGAAGAAATGTTTCCCAACTCTTTATGAAACCTGTATTGCCCTGATACCAAAGCCCAAGACATCACGAGAAAACTCCAAACCAATATTCCTTACGAATGTAAGTACAAAAATATATATGGAATATATACATAAAAATATATTTGTCCTTTCCACGCTACCCGCAGAAGGGGCCCATACGGTGTTGTTCTGGATTCCCATCGTAACTTAAAGGGAAACTTTCATGATGTCCGGAGCCCTTGATGTCCTGCAAATGAAGGAGGAGGATGTCCTCAAATTCCTTGTAGCAGGAACCCACTCAGGTGGCACCAACCTTGACTTCCAAATGGAACAGTACATCTACAAAAGGAAAACTGATGGCATCTACATCATAAATCTGAAGAGGACCTGGGAGAAGCTTCTGTTGGCAGCTCGTGCCATTGTTGCCATTGAAAACCCTGCTGATGGCTGGGCGCTGTGGCTCACGCCTGTAATCCTTGCTCTTGGGAGGCCGAGGCGGGTGGATTGCTCAAGGTCAGGAGTTCAAAACCAGCCTGAGGGCCGGGCGCTGTGGCTCACGCCTGTAATCCTAGCTCTTGGGAGGCCGAGGCGGGTGGATTGCTCAAGGTCAGGAGTTCAAAACCAGCCTGAGCAAGAGCGAGACCCCGTCTCTACTATAAATAGAAAGAAATTGCCAACTGCTATATATAGAAAAAATTAGCTGGGCACGTGGCGCATGCCTGTAGTCCAGCTACTCGGAGGCTGAGGCAGGAGGATTCACTCGAGCCCAGGAGTTTGAGGTTGCTGTGAGCTAGGCTGACGCCACGGCACTCACTCTAGCCTGGACAACAAAGAGAGACTCTGCCTCAAAAAAAAAAAAAAAAAAGAAAGAAAACCCTGCTGATGTCAGTGTCATATCCTCCATGAATACTGGCCAGCGAGCTGTGCTGAAGTTTGCTGCTGCCACTGGAGCCACTCCTATTGCTGGCCGCTTCACTCCTGGAACCTTCACCAACCAGATCTAGGCAGCATTCCGGGAGCCGCGTCTTCTGGTGGTTACTGACCCCAGGGCTGACCACCAGCCTCTCACAGAGGCATCTTATGTTAACCTGCCTACCATTGCTCTGTATAACACAGATTCTCCTCTGCGTTACGCGGACATTGCCATCCCATGCAACAACAAGGGGGCTCACTCTGTGGGTCTGATGTGGTGGATGCTGGCCCGGGAAGTCCTCCCCATGCGTGGCACCATCTCCCGTGAACACCCGTGGGAGGTCATGCCTGATCTCTACTTCTACAGAGATCCTGAAGAGATTGAAAAGGAAGAGCAAGCTGTCGCGGAGAAAGCTGCGACCAAAGAGGAGTTTCAGGGTGAATGGACAGCTCCAGCTCCTGAGTTTACTGCTACTCAGCCCGAGGCTGCAGACTGGTCTGAAGGCGTGCAGGTGCCCTCTGTGCCTATTCAGCAGTTCCCCACTGAAGACTGGAGCACCCAGCCTGCCACAGAAGACTGGTTTGCAGCTCCCACTGCTCAGGCCACTGAATGGGTGGGAACAACCACTGAGTGGTCTTAAGTTCTTCTACAAACTCTTAAAAATGGAAATAAGGTTGATGGGAAATAAACATGAGTTTCTAAAAATATATATATATACATATTTGTCATGAATATAAGCTGACAAAAGCTAGCAGAATCAATCTTTTCAGAACTCTGGAATCTAATTATAAACAGCAACATAGGGGAGGGCTTAATGAAGAAACAAGCTGCAAAAAAAGAGAAAGTTGGAGCTGGTTGTGGTGAAGCACTCCTGTAGTTTCAGGATCCCTTGCAGCCAGGAGTTCAAGTCCAGCCTGGGCAACAGACCCCATCTCAAAAAAAGATCTCATCTCAAAAACAAAAAGATCAGTCCAGGTATAGTGGCTGACGCCTATAATCCTAGCAACCTGGGAGACCGAGGCAGGAGGATCGTTTGAGCTCAGGAGTTCGAGTCAAGCCTGAGCAAGAGTGAAACTTTGTCTCTACTAAAAGTAGAAAAATTACCTGGGTGTTGGGCCTGTACCTGTAGTCCCAGCTACTTGGGAGGCTGAGGCAGGTGGATCCCTTGAGCCCAGGTGTTTGAGGTTGCTGTGAGCTAGGCTGATACTACAACACTCTATCTCTGGGGACAGAGCGAGACTCTGTCCCCCCCCCAAAAAAAATCACAAAAGAGAAAAGTGTAGCATTTTTGCTTGCCCACATACTATCCCCCATTCCCCAGCTCAGCAGAAGCCATGAGGACAGCTGCCCACATGCTGGTGTTGGAAAAGGGGAATCGGAGAAGGACTGTGGTTCTGATTTTCTTGCCACACAACTCCCTGAGGAGTCAGAGTAAAGGCTAACTTTTGTTATCCTCTCAGGATAGAGCAATTTTTCCTCATGACATCTGTCAAAAGCACATAAAGATATCCACTGCCCATAGCCACCTGGGGCAAGGGATGGCAAATGGAGCAAGCAGCAGACAGACCCAAAAGTCAGGGAAGGAAGAAGTGGAGGGGAAATATTCTTCAGGAAATGAGGGCTTGGAAGGGCTACCACAAATACTGGAGA